GTCGGGTGCTGCGATTCAGGGAAAATCATGTTCCTGAAAAATGAAGAAAGGAAACTGAAAATAACATCTTCAGCGTGTGCTGCGGCCCATTCCAATCTCCCAATAAGCTGGCATCGTGACCGCCATCCATGCCGGGCAATTCATCCTCCCCTATAAAACCCATTGGTATATATATAAATATACAGAAGACAACAGTAATCTCCCATAAAAATAAATCGTCCAGCCATCACCATACCTCGATTCCAAACCAAATCGAGCCCCATCTCTCGCCCACAATCCAAAAGCCAATCCTGCTCTACCTCTTCCCCTCCTTCCCATCCTTCCCATCCTTAAACTTCGCAATCTCCTTCGACACCGCTTCATCAATCCTCGCCTTCAGCTGCGGCCGATACCCAAGCCGAAACAACACCTCCAACCACACAAAGAACGGTGCAAGGAAAAACGCCTGCGCAAGATTATCCAGCAATGCCGGTGCTCTCCCCTCGAACACTCCGTGGCCTATGAACTGCAGGATCCACAACACCCCCTGAATGCCCAGACACCAGTAGGTAGCTGTCGTGCCGTAGGTGGATGTGAGGTAGTTGGCGAAGACGGCGGCGGAGACGAGGAGCGGGGCCAGCATGCTGCCTGCTACGGGTTCCATGAGGATGTAAAGGACGGTGTAGAGGAGGCCGGATACCGTGCCGAGGTTTGAAGGGAGGCTGGGGAGTGAGAGGGAGGTTGCGAGGGGGATTTGGGGGCCTATGTTTGTTGCCTGGTTGTTGTTTCGCCGGGTTGGGGGTTAGAATTGGGTCTTGTTTATCTTTCAATCTGTGCATCTGTCTGACGCGACAAGAGGGTGGGGTGGGGAAGGGGGGTTATACCAGTTGGAACATGCAGAGCATTATCACCGGGACACAGACGATGTGGATGGCAAGGTTCACCTAGGAAATGGAGATGGGTTAGATTGGGGTTATGGATTTTTTTGGTTTTGTTGCCTGGGATTATCTTCTTACAGGGTTATGGTGGTAGGCGCCATACTGTTTTGCAACAAACGGTCAGTTCATTTGTGATAGACATCTAGGCAAGGCTATGGATGGATACATCCACTTACAAACGTGAACTGCTTTTCCAGGTTGAGCATCATGGCTGGGAGATATCGAGATCGCTCTTCACACGCGGCTATTATTTACAGCATTCGGGATTCTCCGTAGAGTGCGGGATAGGAATGGGGTGGCAATAGAAGAGAGGATATATCGGTATCGGTATCGGTATCCAGAGTATTTATTTCATGTGGTTTGGTGTTGGTGTTAGGTGTCATCTAAATATATACCTTCTCGGGTAGTCAATTTGGCTATTAGATGTTTGAAAAGGAACGAGGAAAATCGGCGCCGCACTGTGGGGGTGCATGTGATCCGACAACAACCCCAATGGATAACCCTATTTCCTCACCGCAGGGTAGGAGTATTTACGCAGCACAACAAGATATAACAATTCAAATACCTGTCTTAACTAACTGTGCCTATGCCATATCTTTCTTCCGAAGTGTGTCTGTAAATCCCCATGAAATCAAGAATTCCAATTTAACTAGAGGAATAGAGAGGAGATAAATTTATCTGGAGGGCTTCCATCAAGTTTCATTGGACCACATATTATTATTGCCTGAGGGTATTTTGGTCTTTTGACA